TGTATCTTATAAATTTGTAAAGTTTGTAAAGACCTATTAAATACTTGCATAATTTCGTACGTTCATATTTCAGGAAACAATGAGCTAAGACTTAGCTTACATGTAAGAAGTCCAAATCTACGCCATATCCCTTACAAACCCTAACGACAATTCGCTGAAATACAAGTTAGCCTGATATGTCATCAAGCAAACAAACGCTGAAGTTAATATTTGATATGCCGATTTTCGCTAATTTTAGACACATCCCAAAATATGCTCCCGATTTTGAACATTAATTTTAATATCTCCGTGAATTTTTAAGTAAAATACAACTGTAATATATCAAAATCTAAGTTAGTCCTTCCTCTATTTAATACAAGTTATTTCGGTTTGATAGCTTTACTTGTTTAGAAGTTATTATAAATCAAACCGGAGTACTTTTTTTTGGGACACCCGGTAGATGAATTTGCTTCAAGGCCGGTATACTTTTATGTTCAAAGCAAAGATTGAACAACGTAAAATCTACAGCATTTAATATAATATACGCGGTCATACAGTATACAGAGGCGTAGCCAGGGCTGGGGCGGGGGGACCCGGTCCCCCCCCCGGCAAAATTTTGGCCCCCCTGGAAAAATGTATTGTATAAAAAAGGGAATCTTTGATTATATAGCTTCATGCTGTCAATATTATAATGCAAACATTCTGTAGAATATATGCTTTGCTGCGCATCGGTGTGAAACCTAAAAGACCAGTTTGTAATGTACATGTCGACTGTGTCTGTGCATATGTTCTGTGTCGTGATAAAATTGCAGTCAACCAGGCTTGTTCGCTTATTTGCGGCACACAGCTTGAAATACATACCTTTTCTAACCCTAATTATTTCAATATGTATTAAATGAGGGTTAGATGAAGTTTAAACCAATCTTTTTTTCCAGTGAATTTTTAACACGAGCTCGGCGGGCTCAATGTTGTCGGAATCTTCGTGGTAAAGCATCGGAAAAAGTGAAACGGAAATGGGGAAAATTGCTACGAAAGCAATTGTAATGTTATTGTCCGTAATTTTTTTTTACCAAATTAGTTGTCAAAGGGGGGAGGAGACTTAAAATGTTGTGCTACGAAAAATTTGTTGGCCCCCCCTGGGGTTTTGCTGCCCCCCCCCCTCCCCACGCCCTCATCAAAAAACCGGGCTACACCTCTGACAGTATATGGTCTGTCCGGGGCGGCAAAAACCAGGGGTCCTAATTCCGCACGGCTATATTTACACCCGGAGAAAGGAAAGAAAAGCATTAGCAAAATCTAAAGTTCATTAATAATCGCAGGCCCATGGCCATATTTTATCGTCCCCGTGGGTGGTCATCCTCAATGATCTCAAAAATTGCAGTTGACAGGGCCGCCGAAACGATAAAAAGGCAATGGGGTCAGACGCACACTGAAGGACACCTCTATAGATCAAAAGTTCGAACTTTACTTGAAATTTTTTTTTTACATGAAATTTTTTTCGGCGACCTCCCCACCTCTCCCCTCCCCCCGTCGCCAAAAAAAATTCGGTCAGTGTACCATTTTAGGGGTCAAAAATTTTTTCCGGACATACCAAAATTTTTCGTGATGTAAAAAATTTTTCCCGACATCAGCAATTTTCTCCATTTATCCAAAATTTTTTTTCTAAAATTTTTGTAAATTAACCTCACTCTTTTCCAAATTCACACTTATTTTTGTAAATTAACTTTCTCTGGGGCTATAAATTACCTGAATCTCATGATTTTGCCCGAAAAAGCATCACTGGAAATGTGATTTATCAGGTAGTATTTTACAACTAAAAGGGCACTTCTGCTCCCCTTGCCCCTCCCTAGCAAAAGGCAAGAGGGGCAGCTGCCCCTCCTGCCCACGCCCCAGTTCCGGCGTCCCTGGCAGTTGATCTCATTTGCAATTACCTCATGCACGACAATTTGATGAACCGAGATTATATTCGTTATAGGGCCCGTTGTCATAACATGCGGAAGCATTGCTGATACCAGCATGAATATTTGCTGACAATTAAGGTCAACCTGTATAACTACGTCTATTCGGCGTTAAACGAAATTTTCCCGCAAAATTCCACGACTGAAAATACTTTTTCACATGTGAATTGTTCAAATTCTACATTAAAAATATTATTCACATAATATACGAAACCTTTAATTTCCATATGTGAAAATTCTAAATTTCACATACGAAATTGGCATTTTCACATGTTAATGTTTTAATTCCGCATAAAATTTTCCATAATACATCAAAGCATTTTGAATGTTGGTTATAATGTGATGTGAACATGCGCACAACATGCAATTTTGAGAAGGATCAGGTCGTTTAAGCGCCATCGGAATTTATTATCTACAGTGTGAATGAGGTCTAAGACATATATCTTATTGACTGAGTTGATCATTCTGTCAGCATTTAATTTCTTATAAAAAGTATCTTTATACATGTAAACAACGTTTTAACACAAACTAGAGTAGAAGCAAGAATACTAAGTTATCGCTATTAAAACTTACCAATAAAGATCACATTTTCACGCATTCACAGTCCTTTTCAATATTGAAAAAGAGTTATTTAAGTTTTTCTTCCCGAGCGGTCCATCTTAGCGGTCCATATACAATGAGATCAATGAGCGATTTTGTACATTCCTTTTAAAAAAACATGAGATCACTGAGCGGTTCGAACTGCAGGTTACTGACTGCTCAGGAACCAATCAAAATGCTGCATTTTGCAGACGGATCACCTTGCCATATAATAAGCACTGCAGACTTATTATCTTTTCTTTCTCAAATTATTACTCAACACAAGTTATTTTCGTTATATAGGTGTTCTTTTTTTCCTTGTCGATTCCGCTGTTTATATCAATCTTATTTTTCTCCATCTACGACACACAGTGCATCGTCTTCGAACATGCTTCAGTAGTGAATTGCAGTCAGAAATTTTTCACGTCCAACCCGGAACATTGGGTGTTCGCTTGGCTCTTGATG